GATGAACAGTAGCTTCGTCTTGTTGTGAACGTGACACCGCCGTGCCCACCCCTATTTACCACATGTTTCACGAGCTTAAACAACGGCGGTGTACGGCGCATGAGGGCGCAGCAGAAGGATGGTGCACCCTCACCTGGATGGATAGAAAAAAGCTGTAGCTTTCGTGTTCGCTTTGTCCAACAAAATAGTTCTGTAAAATTTCTTGTTAGTCCCTCATTTTCATCGTTATTCTCAAAACACTACCAAGATATTTATTTTTAGATATTAGAGTGTGTTTTGGTTGAATTGTATGAAAATTTAATTGGTATAATAGATTGTTTGGTAAAACTGATATTAGTTATAATTGATATTTCAATTAGTTTATTTTGGAACTAGTACGTACCCCGCCCGATGCATGGGACAAAAATATTAAATGAGTTATTTTCACAGCCTTGTCCGTTTAAGTCTAAAAGTAATAATGTTATTATCTATTTTCTACTTCTTTTAATCAACGTTAAGTATAAAAAATTATTAAGCCGCCCTCTGGCAAATATGTATGGAGTTATGTGTTCGTGTCTCATAAGTCACAAACATTATGAATAACATTACAAATTATTCATTCAAACTTTTATTCATTGCAAATATATTAAAATAGTTTATATAACAGCCATTAAATACCACTTTCAATATATTTATAAATAAAAAGTACATAAAATTTTTGGTATGTTCAAATTTAAATAATTTTTTATGGGCTCAATTTTAAATCATCCAGACATTTGGTCAAACACATAGATATGTTCAAATTTAAATCATTGGCATTTTGGTCGGTTGAAATGTTACTTAAATGAGTATACGAGAGAAGTTCGAAATTTTTTAAACATTTTTCCTACTAAACAAGGCTTATTCGAAAACAAAATCTCCTAAATTAACTAACTAAATGATAAATTAGTTTACGGTAGATATGTTTATTTCATTATACGGAAGTGGATTTTTTGGGTTGGATTTCATTTATTAAATAAATTGAGTTGAGAGTGAAAAATAAAAATTAATTGGGTAGTAAAATGAATTATACTGACATTGTGAGTTGATGGCCTAAAATATAATAACTAAAGTTAATCTGATATTAAACTAATAAAAATATTTATAAATAATTAGTGGTTAAAAATTTATAAGTCGATAAATAGTAAATTTTGTTGAAAATATTTAATACTTATTTATAAATACTATTTAATAATATTAATAATATTGAGAAATTTTAACATTAATTGAAAAGCGAATGTGAAATTTAAAACTTTATTCTACCTTACTTCGTCCAAAAAAATCCCTCTATATATTAATTCAAAACGTATTGAATCCAAGTGGACTCGCACGCTTTGGAATCATACTTGTCAAAATATCATACTTTGTATTTAGGTTCGGAAAAAACTTTGGAAACAAAATTGGCTTGGAATCAACCATACATAATTATTTCAACTTACATAATTACCTCCCATAATCTCTTTCATTACCATAAATTTATAGTCTCTCATACTTAAATTTTTTTTTCATTACCTTTTCTTATTTAACTAGTACAGAGCCCGTGCGATGCACGGGATGTACAATTTTAAGGTCATTTATTCATTCTTATAATTATATAAATGAATAAAAAAAATGTACGGGATATATATAGTACGTGACCTGTAATATGTCAAAATGTGAACACGGGTGATGCACGAGGTGCACAATTTTAAGGTCATTTATTAGTGCATACCCCGTGCGATGCACGTGATACATATAATAAATCAATTATTTCTATAGGACTTGTACGTCTAGACAAAAAAAACAATAGGCTTGGACCATCCATATTTTACATCTTTTAATAAGCGGCGTTTATTTAAGCTAAAATATTAACATGTTAATTAATATATAATTCCGCTAACACGTCATACTAATATTTATTTGATTTTAGATTACATATTTATTCATTGATATAGGAAAAAAATAAAAAATTTATTAATTATTGTTCACCATAAAATACTCAATTATTATTTTATTATAAAATTTACAGTCATATAATGTAATTATTATTATTTATAAAAGTTATAGAAGTTTTCTTCTTTATGTAATGAAATTCAAAATAAAATTTTGAGTATAAATGTTTACAAAATACACACACATGTTTTTTAGAATTCAATTTTCTCATAATAATTCTTTTTTTTAAAAAAAAAAATGATTTAGCAATTGTCAAAAAATAAATCCCTTAAATAATCAAGAGATTTTTTCTAATTTTCATCCTAAGACTTTATAGTTTATTTAATATACTATGCAATAGAAAAATATTTCACAATAAGTTTATTTTTTAAACATAACAAAAAAAAAAGAAGTGATAAAAACACTATCATAGTTGACATTAATATACAAATAAATAACATGTCGAAATTTTAAATAATAACTATCATTTTATTAACAATCAATAAAATCATTTAATGAGTGATCATTATCTTTTAAATAATAAATAATAATTATTTTTTTAAAAAATATTAGTGTTATATAATTAAATAAAGGTTAAAAAATATTACTCGACAAATATTAATTATAATGGATATAAGTAAATTTATTGCATAAAGGAAAAAATCCTGAAGATCATATTTGAATAGTAAATGCAAATATACAAGCATTTAATGCATATAGTAAAAAATTTCCAAATAAAGTATGCATTAAATGTGTGTTGACTTTTCTTGCTACTGTTTTTAGTAAATAAGTTGGATTTTAATATATATATATATATATATCGATTCATATAACAATTGTAATAGATATGTATTCTTTTTATTTTTAAATCTTTGTAACTTCTATCTTTTTTTTTTATATATATTATATCTCAAAAATAATCATACATATTTTGACGATTTTTGATTTGACATCCATATTGCACATATAAAATAAAAAATAATTACATCTTTCATTATAAATATAACTATTTTTTTAAAAAAATAATTTTAAAAATATAAATACGATATAAATTGTCTAATAATAAATATAATAAAATTTTGATTCAATAATACACCATAAAATAATTATTTTGATGCGTTTTTTCATAAATTCTAAATAAAATATAAAAATTAAGTACAAAAATACGAGTCACATTTTGAATTAATTACTACTTTTTTTTATATATATATTCATTATACATAATTTTACAATACAAAAATAAATTATTTTAATTTTTCTATTGTACAAATATTAACATATTCAAGTACTTGTGTAGTACACGGGTATCGTACTAGTATTATCTGACAACTAAAAAAACTTCTCCAATCGCACCATAATCTCAAAAAA